TGATTTGGGTGACAGTTTACAGAGCAAATTCATTTTCCATACAGCAGTTCATACACATTTTGTTTCATGACATTGACTGAAATTCCCCACAGAGTAACAGCTCTCTTTGCACTTCCTCCCTGTAGGTACTTCTTCCTTGTGTCCTTTCCTATGCATTCCTGCCCCCTGAGTTATCTCCCTGTGCAAACACTGCCCCTCTGATCTCCCACGAGTGACCATTTATTTATTTATACAGTCATTTATTTCTATCAGTCTGTCCCTGGGTGATGCAAATTGTTAACACACTGAGCTGCTAATCAAAAGGTTGGAGGTTCAAGTCTCCCCCAGAGGTGCCTCAGAAGAAAAGCCTGGCAATCTGCTTCCACAAACTCAGCCATGGACCTGTATGGAATACATTTCTACTCTGACACACATGCGGTTACCTGGAATCAGAGTCAACCAGGCAACTTGTAGTAGATTTGGGATTACTGACATTATCATTTGGTTTATAATCCAGTGCTGCTTTATTCTGTTATTCAAATTGTTCCAGGTTTGGCCCCTGGGAGCCTTTTCACCTGGCTCCTGTGTCCCTTTGACATACCTCCAGCATTGTGTGTGTGTGTTTTGTTTCTGTCTTAGCCCTGCCTTACTTTCTGGCATTGCAAGATGCTGCAGGCTCATTTTGCACAATGGCCCGACCCCCCGTTCCTTTTATTGGAGTATGGTATTGGAAAACAAGATCTAGGGTCTAGGTGTGCTTGAACCTATGTTGTTGTTGTTTTGTGCTGTCTAGCCGGGCCTGACTCATAGCGACACCTCCTTGGGTTTCCGAGGTGGTATCACTATGGAACTAGATTGCCCAACCTTCATTCTGAGAAGTGGCTGGTGGGTTTGAACCACCAGCCTTCTCTTTAGCAGTCAAGTGCTTTAGGCACTACGCTACCAGAGCTAAGATTTTAAAATTTCATTGTGGCAAAATATGTAACAAAAAATTGTTATTTTCACCATTTTAAGTGTGCAATTTGGTGACAGTAATTACATCCACAATGCCCTGCAACTATCACTACTATTTCCAAAACGTTTTCATCTCAGACAGACGCCCACTCCCATTCAGCCCTCTCCGCAATCCTTGGCAACCACTTTAGTGTCTATGCAGTTGCCCATTCTAGATATTTCATGAAACTGTAGAACACAGATTTTTAACACTCTCCCCAGCTATATCTTATGCAAGTAGAGTCAGAGAACCTCTGTTCTCAACGTTTTGTTTTCGGTCTTTGGAATACTAACCTCCACAAGGCAGTTTCAACAGTCGATGGCAGAGGGCGCAAGAAAAAGGAGAATGTTTTCCTTTTAACCACACTTGCCCTTCCAATTGGAGAACAGCTGGAGATAAACGCAGAGGCGGGGCCACTGAACCCTGCGCAGGAGAACTCTCGACTGTTACAGGAGAGTTAGCGATCAGCTGACTAGTGACGAAGGTCCACATCCACAATGGAGGCAGGACCTAGCGAAGGCAGCTGATAATTGGTGGAGTAAGATTCAGAAACTCAGGACTTTGGGGCGGACCCTTCACTATGAGGATTTGGATTGGTTTATATGCCGTAACGTGGTGTCATGTGGTCCACCACAAAGCGCGTGAGGACGCCCTACACAGATGTAGGTGCACAGGTCGAAGTTTGTTGTTATGTGCCCTCCAGTCGGACCCACTCATAGCGACCCCTCCTTGGGTTTCCGAGGCGGTATCCCTACGGAAGTAGATTGCCTTCCAGGAATGGCTGGTGGGTTTGAACCGCCATCTTTCTGGTTAGCAGTCAAATGCCTTAGGCACGACGCCACCAGAGCATCGAACTCTAGGGACGCCGATTGGAGATCGCGGGTCACCAGGCGATGTGGCCGGTGGGGCGCGACCATGCTGCAAGGCTGCTGGTTGGCCGGCGTGAGTCACATGCTGCCGGGCTGCCCATGGCACGCGCGCCAGTGCGACGTCAGCACAACCCGCTAAGCTCCCCAACTTGTCTTCCGTGTTAGGGCGGGGGTTGAGTCCTCCCAGGGCTGAGGTCGGACAGTTTGGTGACTCCTGTGGCCGCCATGGACAACTCCGGGAAGGAAGCCGAGGCGATAGCGCTGCTGGCCGAAATGGAGCGCAAGGTGAAGAACTCACAGTTCTTCTTCTCCGGGCTCTTTGGTTAAGAACCTGAGCGAGGGCCTGCTGGGACCTAGGCTGAAGGGACGAAGGAGGCACGGTGTGAGGCGTAGGGGCAGGCAGGAAGGGCGAGGGCCGAGGGGACAGAGGGGATTCTGGAATGAGGAGACATGGTGTCATGGGGGCAGGGGGGGCCAAAGGGTCTGGACCCTGGTCGCACAGTGTGACGGGAGACAGAGATGGTTTTGGCGACCTGGGCTGAGAAGATACAGGCCGAGGTGACACCATCTTGAGGCAGGTGAGGGAACTAAAGCCAAAGACGGGCCAAGGGGCCAGAGAACTGGGCCGAAGCCTTCAAAAGGGGGCTGAGGGAGCCAAGTTAAGGAGTCACTCGGAGCTCTCGGAGAGCCTCTTTGAAGGATCCCTGATGAGACCTGGGGCAACTGCCCCCTGTCCAACGTGCTGACACTTCCCAGGCTCACGGAAGTGGATTTGCGTGGGCCCTGCATGATGGGTCAGCAGTGAGGAATCTGAACCAGGCCGAAGGGATCAGGGCTTGGGGGATCTTGAGGGTGGTGAGCCAAGTCTGAGGTGTGTAAGGTGTCTGGGGTGATGACCAGTCTAAGGGGACCTTATGCTTGAGTGGGACCCAGGTGGAGGAGACCTGGGCTCAGAGGCTGGGGGAACGAGTGAGGTGACATGGCTTGGCTGAGATGGAAAGGTCAAAAGGGAGACATGAGGGAACTGAAGAACCAAGCAGGGGTGAAGGTCTGCCGTGTGATCACTCAATAATGACTTGGAGGTCTGAGGACAGTAGGAGAGCAGGCTAAGCAGAGGTCCTGAAAGGGGCCTTTGAGGCAGAACTAACACCTATGATGTGACAGATATGTCATATAAAATTAATTAACTCTGAAAAGTAGTCCCAGCCACATCCTTTGAGTAATCTTAGTGGTTTTGGGATGTCATAAAGCCCAGGTTTAAAAGATGGGTTAGTCACTTACCATAATTTTTGTGTACAGTGCACCCACCTAGCGGGCACACTCATATAGCACGCACATGCATACAACGCACATACACATATAACGCACAAAGCACATCTAGGAGACAGATGTGTGAGGGGTTTGTGAGGTTGGCAGAAAAGCCTGAGTAAAACTGGTACTTTGAGATCCTGGGTATGTTGTTGGGCAGAGGAAGTAGGGAGCCCTGGAGGACTAGGGGAGAAGAACGCTGAGAGAGGGACTGGAAGGGGTGAAGGGGAAACTGTCAGGACTGTGAGGAGGTCTAGGAGAATAGTTGATGCTTTCTGGAGAGGAGCCCTGGTGGCACAGTGGTTAAGTGCTTGGTTACTAACCACATGGTTGGTGGTTCAAACCCACCCAGTGGCTCCGTGGGAAAAAGGCCCAGCCATCTGCTCTTGTAAAGATTATACCCAAGAAAACCCTATGGGCAGTTGTGATCTGTCACTTGGGGTCATTATGAGCCCTTAACAACAGAGTTAGGAAGGATTCCCTGGGTACCTCAGATGGTAGCATAGTGCCTAAGGCATTTGACTGCTAACCAGAAGGCTGGCAGTTCAAACCCATCAGCCACTTCGTGGAAGGAAGCTTGGGCAATTTACTTCTGTAGTGATGCCCCCTTGGAAACCCAAGGAGGGGTCACTGTGAGTCGGATCCAACTAGACGGCAGTGAGTTTGGTTTGGTTTTTGGTTCAGATGTTTGAGTGCTTGACTACTAGCCAAAAGGTTGGGTAGTTCAAAGACACCTTGGTAGACAGGCCTACTAATCTGCTCCCTAAAGGTCACAGACATGAAAACCCTAGGGGGCAGTTCTCCTCTGCACACAGGGGGTCGAATGGACTCAAAGGAAACTAACAACAGAGAAGAACTGCCTGTGGGGGTGGGCATGGACTCTGAGAACCCAAGAGAGGCAGAGCCAAGGGGAGGCTGTGGGGCTTGGAGCTAGGGGCTGAGGTTTGGGGGAGGGCCCAGGAGCCCAGAGGGGTGGGGAAGAATGGAAGGGAAGCCCCTTTTATGAAGAGGAGACTGTGGAAGGCGCTGGCCTTTGTTTGAGGTTGGATAATGGGCAGCAAAAGCACTTGAGGAAAGTGGTGGGAGAAACATCCTAAGTGATGGAGTAGGTTGATTAGGGAGGAATGTAGTTTTAGAAGTTGAGTGGGGAGAGAGAGTGGTATGTATAAGAAAAACTTCACTGGGAGAGAAGTTCAGTGTGATATTTTGGGGGTGGAGCCAGGGGCTTTTTCAGGTAGTAGCTTTCCTGGGTGGTTCTGGGTGTCTGGTTCCTTCTGCCTTGGAATTTGGGTGCTTGGAGGGAACAGCTAGGCCAGCAAGGTGAGTGCCCTTGAAGCATTTGCAGCCTGGCTGGGAGGCAGAACTTCTTGTTGTTTTAGTTGCCATCTAGTTGATTACAACTCTTAGAGACACTACAAGGCAGAGTAGAACTGTCCCTTAGGGTTTCCTAGGCTGAAATCTTTATGGGAGCAGATCGCCAGGTTTTTCTCCCACGGAGCAGCTGGTGGGTTCAAACCACCAACCTTTTGGTTAGTAGCTGAGCGCTTAACTATTGTGCTACCAGGCTCCTTAAAGCAAAATTGATCCTCACCAGATGCTAGCAGAGCACACTTGTGTGATGTCACAAGTGCTAGATTGTGTATTGCAAAGTGAGGTTCTGCGATGAGAGGCACTGTGTGAACTGGAGGAGGGGTCTTTGTGGGGAGTGAGCTGCTGAGCCACCTGGAGCCCAAGGGTTTGCCAAGGAGCGGGGCTCAGGAGGGGCCTGGGCAGCAGGAATAGGGCCACCACACAGGGTTCTGCACAGAATAACAGGGCACCAGGAGCTTGAGGGGCAGGGGTGGCTTCCTGGAGCAGAGGCTGGCAAAGCTCCAGCAAGGAGGAGAAGCAGGAGGTTTCTCTCTGCTGGTGGTGTGCTCTGGCGGGGTGCGGGGCAGGCGTTCCAGGAGAGGGAGCAGGTGGAACAAAGGCCCAGAGGCAGGGAGGTTCAGCTATGGGGAGTTCTAGGTCTTCGTCATTGTTGCATGCTGTGTTCAATTCAGACTCATAACAACTCTGTGAATCCATGTCATTAGAGGAGGGAGAAGGGGGAGGTGACGCTGGAGATGGGGACAGGGCCAGGCCCCAGCCCTGGAGGAGAAAGGTGTAGGGATGGATCAGAGGGTGGGGAGTAAAGGCAGAGGGCCATCACAGAAGTAATAACAGTAACACCCATTGCCATCAAGTTGATTCTGACTCATGGCGACCCCACGTGTTGCAGAGGAGAACTGCTCCGTGGAGTTTTCTGTTTTCTTGGTTGTAATCTTTATGGAAGCAGATTGCCCGGCAGGCCTTTCTGCCTTGGTGCTGCTGGGTGGGTTCAAACTCCCACCTTTAGCTTAGTAGTCGAGCCTGACCCCAAACCAAACCAAACCAGACTCACTGCTGTCGAGTTGATTCTGCCTCATGGCGACCCCTTGTTGGGTTTCTGAGGCTATATCTCTACGGAAGTAGATTGCCCAGTCTTCTTTCTGAGGAGTGGCTGGTAGGCTTGAACCACCAGCCTTCTGGTTAGCAGTCAAATGCCTTAGCCACTACCCCACCAGAGCTCCTAAGCACAACCCAGGGACCTTAATAATAATACCACAAAACTTGTTGCCATTGAGTTAATCCCAATTCATAGCGCCCCTAGAGGACAGAGTAGAACTGCCCCGTAGGGTTTCCAAGGCTGTCAGTCTTCACAAAAGCAAAGGTCAAACCAAACCCACTGCTGTTGAGTCGACTCTGAGTCACAGTGTGCCTAGAGGACAGAATAGAACTGCCCCACATGGTTCTAGGCTGTCATCCTTATGCAAGCAAATCACCAAGTCTTTCTCCTGCAGAGCTCCTGGGTGGGTTTGAACCGCCAACCTTTTGGTTAGCAGCCAACCACTACCAGGACTCCTTCCTCTCATTTCATGCTCACAGAATCCCCATGGAGGTGGCTATGTGGAAGCTCAGAGAAGTTCATTTCCTTGCTGTGCCACACAGTCAGCAGGTGGGACCAGGCCTGTGGGAACCCAAGCCCTTGGCTCAGCCCAAGGCCATGCTTCCTCAGTAGTTCATGCTAGAGGCTCTGGGATGTGGGGAGAGGAGCTATGTTGGAGAACCTCTGCCTCCTCACCCTTGCCCCCTTTCCCCAGGGATTGTGTTTTTTTCTAAATATTTGAAAGAAAGACCTGATAAGATCAGAGTCCCTTCCAGCTCCAAGAGGCTTTAAGATGATGCTGTTAGACTTCCACCTAAATCACAGTTAAGAAAAACAAAGATGGTGCTGAGAACAGGGAGTGGGCAAGGCGAGGCTGGAGGGGAGGCTGCTGACCTACTGGAACCCGGCTGGAGTGAAGCAGGGAGTCAGCTCAGAGCACCCCCTCAGGGGCCTGGTGTGAGGGACCCCTCATGGCACTCCCTGCCCCCTTCCCCTCTTGTCTGTGTTGAACACTTCACGGCCCCCCGCTTCTCTAGACCCTCTGAGACCAGGGCCCCGAGGAGAGCATTGGGGCTCAGCTCCACCTTGCTGCTTCTCCCACCCTTCTGGGTGCTTCAGTGGTGTCACCTGGCATTATCTCAAGTAGAATGTCAGAAGAGCCAAGCCAGCCTGCACCCCCTGGGGCCTGGGCCATCCCTCTCAGTGGGATGGTGAGTGTTCATAACTGCATCCTTCCTTCTTCCTTACTTCTGGGCTCCCAGGTGCTAGGGGGCTTTGGTGCACATGTCTACCGTCCCTTCTGTTCCCTCCTTCCCCCTCCACTCTCCAGTGAAGGGTGGGGTGGGAGCAGCCCAGCTTCTGCTCTGGAGATTGCCCAAGTAAAAGCCCAAGGGACAACAAAGGACAGGGGGAGAGGGAGGGGAACTTACTGCTTCCTTAGCGTCTGCAGTCCATCCAGAGACCCCGCCCTGCTGTGTCTCTTGGGCTCCAGCAGATTCTGCACACAGCCACTCTGTTCCCTGGGGCTTTG